ATATGTCTGCTTCATTGTCAGCATGCTTTTGTCGTTCTTCCTTTTCCGCTTCTTCTCGTCTGAGTTCTTCTTCAGCTCTTGCTGCCGATTCTACCGATTCTCTTTCCTTCCGTTTCTTTTCCAAAGCTTTTTCCCTCAAGATTTTGGCCTCCTCTCGCAATTCATTTCTCCRTGACGCTTGTGACTCTTGTTCCACCTTATTCTGACATTCTTCGTTCTTTTTATTTAATTGTTTGGAGCCTTTGTCAGAGCCGATGGAAGTTCTTGTCGTTTCGTGCTTTTGGTTTTCGATTTGCCTTTCATATTCTGTTCTTTTCTTCTGCAACTTTTGGTGCTCTTTTGAGCCAGGCGTGCAYGCAAGTAGCATTTTTTCTACTTTTCTTAGCTTTTTGTTCAGCAACTCAAGTGAATGCCCTTTGTCTTCGTCCTGCTTTACCGATTTCTCTTTCATTCTCTGGTCGTCAGTCCCTTCTTTTGCCATAGTTGGTACGGAATTAKCTACAGAATTATTTGTTGATTCTTCTTGCACTTCAGATGATTCTTCTACTTCGACCTCTGTAGRMCTAGAGGTCGTCTCGGCATTGGCTTTTTCGATATCTATCCTCGTCTGATTTCTCAATTCCGCCCGATATTCAACGAGTTTCTTCTGTAGTTTCGTGCATTCCTTAGATCCAGGCGGGCTGTTGGCTATCATTTTCTCAACCTTCTTAATTTTTTTGTTGAGTATCTCAACAGAATATTTCCCTGAATCATTAGAACTTTTTTTCCCTATAGGAACAGACGCTGTTCGAGCCATGGTGGACTTTAAATCGCGTTGTGACAAATGCAAACGCATTGCATCAGCTTCGTCTTTCAATGACATGTGTCTTCCTCCAGTCGAACTGGTCGCCATTCTATAAATCGGGACTAGGAAGGACGCACAGTTCTCGCTGCTATGATGAAGTGAATATTGAAAAAAAAATAGTGCCTGTCACTTCAATTTACAACCCTCGATCAGTATTGCTTACGGAATTCAAATAACGCTTCTCTTGTTATTCGGATTCGTTTCATCGATTGAGGAAATAGGAAATGCTTCGACGTGTGTAGGATGCGAGGAACCAGCAGGATACTTACTGAAAGCTTTAAAAACTGAAGGTAAGTACTGTACGAACCGCGCTCTACCACTGTTCGATAATACGTACGGTACATCCTTTCAAAGCGCGAACTCGAGGACTCGGCAGAATCACGACTTGAAGGGCTCATCTGTTTTGAATCTCTGCTCTACAGTTCTGACCGGACATATTACTAGTACTACTAATAYGTCCGGTCAGAACTATAACTATTAGTACTAGATGTTTCATCACTACTGAAGAAATCTGCTAGGACTATGCAAGCATGGAGAGGAATGTGAGTGTCAACATATTCCAAACATGGAATGAGATGGAATGAAAGCCCTGCACACCACCAGCTCAGTATTGAACAGTGAGTACTAGTACTAGTAGTACTACTACTAGTAGTACTACTAGTAGTACACACACTCGTCACCTACTACTAGTACTAGTACTACTTGCTGTCCCTAGGATATCAGATCGTGGGTATGATTCATATATATGACACATACATATGACACGTATCTATGTTTCATACACACCATACATATATGACTCACTCGATTCTATAGATCCATAGTACAATTGACATGACTCAGTTCATTCACTTGTGTGAGTGACTTGACTCGTTTGATTCACACATCACTCGATCTTCATTCTGATTGGCCTTAGACTTCATAGTTCATCATCAATCCTTGATAAGAGCATCAACTCACATTTCTTCTAGTAGCGCACGATTTACATCACTATTAGATAGTCACTCCCACAGGTTATGACACCCTTCCAATAAAAATTATCACCATGGTGATCATTTTTTAGGCATGCTCTCTCCTCATCACAAGACTCTACCAAACAATTTGTTTACACACCTTTGAACAAGAAACTCGACATCAAACAACGCTTAACGCATTGTCACTGTCATCGAAACTATCACCACTACGCGATCGCGATTACACAATCCGTTGTCTAGTGACATGCCGCAGAATCTTGATGACCAAGTTATGTATAACCCTTCAATTGAAGAAGTTGAATGTGTGTTAATAGAGTCTGCAATGGAATCCATCAATTCTGGTCTTGACAATGGTGTTTTTGATGAAGAACCTGTTCAGCTGGAGGAAAGCTCCGACTCTGTTCTTGTTGATGTAATCAAAACACCCTTTGATCAATGGTTGTTACCACCCTTGACGAAGGTCAAAATAAAGTTAATGAAGATCATGAGNCACCATGGTGATCATTTTTTAGGCATGCTCTCTCCTCATCACAAGACTCTACCAAACAATTTGTTTACACACCTTTGAACAAGAAACTCGACATCAAACAACGCTTAACGCATTGTCACTGTCATCGAAACTATCACCACTACGCGATCGCGATTACACAATCCGTTGTCTAGTGACATGCCGCAGAATCTTGATGACCAAGTTATGTATAACCCTTCAATTGAAGAAGTTGAATGTGTGTTAATAGAGTCTGCAATGGAATCCATCAATTCTGGTCTTGACAATGGTGTTTTTGATGTAGAACCTGTTCAGCTGGAGGAAAGCTCYGACTCTGTTCTTGTTGATGTAATCAAAACACCCTTTGATCAATGGTTGTTACCACCCTTGACGAAGGTCAAAATAAAGTTAATGAAGATCATGAGAGACCACAACATACCTTTAGCTGCTGAAAGGGAGCTATACCAATGGGCTATCAAGAAATCAGAGAGGTTCTTGTCTGGTTTCACCTGGGGTAATGGAAGCAGGCAGTCTGATCAAAACTCACCAAACTGTTCTAAATGAATGCTAGAAACGATACAATACCAGATTTGTTCAGCAGCAATAGCTTCATATAGAAGGAACTGGTGGAGAGACATATGTGTTGAGAAGTAGCTACAGACAAGAAAATAGTCCAGAATTCAAGTACTTTGTAACAAGAATCTTAGGGATGCTTTCTCCTACTAAACAAACAGAATTGAAGCAGAGGTGACACAGGGATGAATTTAGCTCTATTTTCACTGTGACAGACAAAACTTTTGCACTCCTGTTTTTGTACAATGACTTCAAATAGTGGAATATTTCTGGAAGTGGAAAGAAAACCAGAAAATAATTCACTGGCAGCAGGATTGGTAGCAAAGAAGAGGGCTAGAGCTATGAGGGACTTATGCTGTTTGGGAAGCTAATCAAGGAAGTAAAGAAGCAAGGGTAGTTCAAAAGTGATTGAGCAAGCACTGGGAACAGAGTACAGAAAAGACATAGGAGAGAATAAGGAGGAGAGAAATAATAGAAAACAAAAATTGCACAAAATGAAAAAGAATTTCAATCAGAAAASTATTGGGAGGACAACAATATCTTAAACAATCTAAGGTCAAAGATACGACCGGTACAAATACCAAACTACAGTAATACGACAGTAAAAACTATGAACACGTTGAGGAAACCAAAAAGACGAGTTACAACAATGATACCAAAATTCCAGTGTTGAACTTTTCTTTTCAGACAAAATACTAGAATTGTTGATCATTGAAACAGAATTAGCAGCAGCAGTAAAAGAGTTGTTACTATGCAGCAGAGAATTGTCAAGGGAGGAGAAGAATTTTGATCCAGGTACAGGAATAAAGGTAATCCAATTAAAAGTTTCATGTTGACACAAGATACTTGTCAAATGATTTAGATAATTTGTTGACAAAACAAGGAAAAAACTGATGGGAATAAAAATTGGAAATGACCACGAGAATGGGCATCAAACTCTTCATGATAAACATGTGGTTAAAGAACTTGTTCCATGGATAAGAGGCCCAATATTTGCATACGAGCAGCACAAAATACAAGCTTGAATTTAATTTTATGCACGTGGGGAAAACTTCACACCATAACATCAGTTTGTGTGATGTACTATTAGTATGGTGGTTGTTTGTCATGTTGGTTGTTCTTGATGTGTTGGCACCAGCAGCAGTAGTGAGGATGAGGATAGTAAAATGATGGAATATAAAAATCATCACTTCTTCTTGTTGTTCCTCTTCTTGTTCTTGGTGAATACCTCATCCTCCTCATGAATGCAAAATCTTGGTGGCTTCCTTTTGTTGATCTTCACCTCCATTTTCTGCACAGTTTTTGTTGAGCCACTGATGTCCATCATCATCACGACCGTATTCAATGTATACTACTACTCTTTAGTAGGGACTAGGGCTTCTTTTGACATCAGGAATCTCCTGCTCACTGCTGCTCACTGCTGCTCACTGCTGCTCACTGCTGCTCACTGCTGCTCATTGCAACACTAAGAACAAGAATAAATGAGTCTTTAATGCCCTACTATCAATAGTAGGACTGGGCTTCTTACTGATTTCCAATTGTCTTCAACCAACTCAAGCTCAATGCCAACAGTCCTTGTTACATTATCAATTCACATTTGCAGGCTTGGTTTGAGTCACTGCTAGTCTGGAGGTTTTATGTTGCAATACTAGTAGACCATCAAAGAGATGGAGGCATCATGACATTCTTGTTGTTGTTCTTGATTGTTTTATCCAACTCATCCCATGGATTTTTTTAATAAGATAGGGGCTAAGCTGATATCTCTCATTTTTGGGAGAAATTTGATTCAATAGATGAATTGTTTGCTGCTACTTTTATTGTTCTTTCACTTAAATGAAACAAGAGCTACATTGAGGAACAATCTACCATTGCTGATAAAATCAATCTTTGATAGTTCTACTGTTTGGAATACGAAAAAAGACATTTTTTTGGTTTTCATGTTCTGGAGATTAAATCTACTTCATCATGCCCACAAAAGAATCCTCAATTKAAAAACGCGAAAGAACTATGCACATGTATGTGAAGAGGAAAGAAAACCTTTTCCGACAAACGAGGTCAGTACTTCCGTCGAACTWGCAAAGCTTGTTGCTGATCACCACCACAATCTTGTATCATAGTCCCAAGTTATCAGGTTCAATTATTAGAATCGTTCGCCCATCACTGTTAAGATCTGCACGGAGACTATTTTGTTGGGCAACATCTCTATGAGTACTACCACAGCCTCATCAAGACTYTGATTTAATGCCTCTAAATTTTGCTAGCGACAATAAAGTAGAGGGGGGAAGAAAGCCGTCACACCGGAAAAACGATGTTAGTTGTGTTGAACCAGGGCACTTAAACTCCAACTAAATAGTAGAAGTTCTTCACATTGTCATAATTTAAAAAGTCGAGTCAGTTTAACTAATTTCGACAGGTTCCATCTCGCTATTGGTGGAGGGCAATGGGTCTTCTTCGTGAACAACAGGTTGTGATGTGTCTGCGACTTGTTCATCATCCTCGGACAAGCCCAACGGGTCTTCCTTTTCAACGGGAGGTAGCTTGCTGCGATTGCAACATTTCGATGCAAAGAGATAAAGAATGACACCGAGTACAAGTCCACCCGCGACGCAACCTACGATCAAAKGAACGTTAACACTACTGGCCGCTCTGGAATAACTTCCGCGGGCGGGTTTGGCACCAGTAAGGTACTTTCCTGTGTCGGCGTTCCAAATTCCTCCTACATTGCGACCATCTACACCCATACAACCATAAACAGATTCCAGAGCAGCCTTAACCTTGGCAAAATCTGCGGTTTTGGCTTGGCCTGTCTTCATGTTTTYGTAGATTATGTCCGCTGCGTCTTCATCACAAGCGTCAACTAGAGGCAGAATAGAAGCGGCAAAAGTTGCTCCTTCCACCTCAGCTTTGTCACCGGACGAGGGATTGTTAGATGTAATGTATGCGTATCGTAGTGTACCTTGAATAAGAGGAACAGACATCAATTGTACGATTCGTTCTGTATAAGGTTTGACTTCAGCGCACTYTCCTTGCGCCAGCAACCTCGACCCAAGTGCAAAACTACGGATGACCTCGATATTCACGTGAGAAGTTCCTTCCGCGCTATTCGCAAGACTACCACAAGTTTTGAAATCCTTACAACGCTTATCGGCGAGTGCGTAGAGAAGCTTTCCGGAACCTGTTCCATCGACCCCCTCTAGGCTCCCGGTGTACGATGCTACAGCTTCATCCCATGCACGTTGGGCGCGATTGTTGCAGTTGTCCGTTGTGCACTCACTATCGCATTCGAAAAACGCGTCTTCCATTTGTTTAATTACCCACATCCAAATGCTGAGGTACGCCGTTCCCTTTTTGATCGCCTCGTCTCTCCCTACGTAACCGTATAGGCCAAATGCTCCTGAAAAATCAATCAAWAGTCAGGTGAGTTCAATCGTACGTCCAACATTTCATCTTTATTTGGACAAGCTCAACCARACAGGGCACTCACCGTTCCCCTTCGCTAAACTGGTGGATTTGCCTTTAAAGGCCGCCGAGACCCACTTGTCGGCATAGTCGAAGAATCCGTAGTAATCAAAAAATTTTCTGAAAGTAGGACTGGGGCAGTGTTCACAACGAAACATTTTTTGTTCCGCATCGGAGCTTAACTTTTTGAGTGTCCTCTTATTCACGTTTTCGGTTTCTGGATTATAGGTGTATTCTAATACGTTGCCGTCCAGACTGATACTGCCGCTGGGCGCAAGACAGCCTTTCAAAGTTTTTTTGACAAGACCACCAACCTGGCACTCTACATATGATGCCTGGATGTCAGTTGTCTTGTATTGAATACCAATAGTAGTCGCACCATTGGGGTAATCGTCGTAAACAGTACCGTATACAACCGCCCCATCGGCGTTTTTCCCACTAGCAGCAGTAAATTTCTTCAGACTGCTGGTGAGAGGAGACGACAATGTTATCATTGCAACCGACTTCGAATTACCACCGTACGTATAAATATCTTCGGCACGTTTCCAAGAAGTCGGATCTCTGATAGCGAGTTGATCCTCCATCGATGCCTGGTCTAGGTCGATGGCATTCTGTGGGGTGGTGACAAATAAAATAACGTTTTGGTCAGAAACGATGGCAGGCAGAGATTGGTTTTTTCTTCGTGTTTTGCTCAGATGCACAACTCGTTGCAAGTGAAATAGATCGACACAGTCTTCCCATGAAGATTTACGGGTGAAGATTTAATTCAACCACCTCTGAAGGAAGAAAACGGCGTTGAAGCATATAGCGTTGAAACTTGCCAACCTTTCCACAACGAGCTGTAACAGCATCTCGCGCTTGTTTCGAGCTAGGCGTCACATTCATAATTTATTCCAGCAAAACTCACCATATCTGTTACCTGCGTGTACGGTTCATAACTGGCAATGAGCTCGAATGAGAGACGTCGATCTTGGTGTGTATCGGAACCAGATCGCAATGTCGACGACGATGCCGGGGTGGCAAGGAGGAGAAACGATAGCAGTGAAGAAGTAGATAAAATCATCGTCGCAGTAGTCCTTCGTAGATTTCTGAGAAGAAAAAATTTGATCAGAACACTTTCTTGATGAGCTTCTTAGTGGAATACGTTCACAAAATTCGAAAGGTTTTGCACATCACCAGAATGAAATCCTCACATCTCGGCTCTCACGTTTTTAGACGCCGAGATGGGCGATAACTGAACGGTACGGTACGTAGGATTCTGATTCATAACCTTCGCCATACGGTAGAGTACAAGTACGTACCGTACGGTGGGTCGAGCACATTGTGATCCAGGACGGTACCGGTATGGCTACTACCATACGTATGTACCAACGGAAGATTTTGCAGTTGTTGTTTTTCAGGATCATGAGAGATCACACATATCCATTCAATTTTGTGAGGCCAGTCGTTTGGTGACGCGATTGACGCATTCCACCAATCAGCACTTCGAACATGGTATGGGAGCGTGCCAGAATTGAGAAAGATCGTGCATAGCACACGCCCAAATGGAACGCAAATTTTATTTTAAAGAAAACTTGTGTGTCAGAAAGGCGCGGCTGATGTGATTAGTTCTCAACGACAAACGACCAAGGACGACTAAAGGTCATGCGAGTACATACATATATTAAATATGTACAATACATACGTATTATAAGCGCGGAAGGAAGTACTAGTAGTAGTATTGTATTGTAGTATTGTATTACTGTACTGTACAATATTATTACTTCCTCTGTGCCTAAATGAAAGTCCTGTACTAAGCACCTGTACTGTTGAAATAAGCTCAAAATTGAGGGCTCTCTTCTTATTAAACTCATCTGTTATCAGTATTACTACTAGTAGTACTAGTAGTACTACTAGTAGCTACTAGCTACTAGCTACTATAATTTACAAAACATTTTTTTTCAAATGCACGAAATTACACTTAGGTTCTGAAAATTATCACCTAGGTTTCCTACTGCAGATTCCTATGTAGTACATACCTGACCAGTACCTTCTGGCATCTGACCCCACCATGGTGACATCCCCTTCCAAAGGGGAAAACCCACCTCCCTGGCTCCATTCAAGCAATCTAACCAAGCTTATTATATCGATATTATTCCCCTGTCCCCAGCTGTTAGTAGTCTACCAGGTGGTGGATCCATCCCCTGTTCCTCCAGAAGCACATAGTACACCAGTATCTTCTGGTGTTGAAGTTGTTTCTGACATTTGTGCCGGACAGCAAGAACAACAACAACCCCAGCCCCAGTATTCAACCAAGACCTATTGAAGAACAACAAAGCCTGGRGTATATGCTACATACATACTCTCAAGGCAATTTCCCAGMATCTCCATGCAGTTTCAACAGTATTCATTACAGACCAGACAAAGATTCCAGTCACGATGTTGTTGTTGTTGTTGTTTCCGGCATTCATGTCGGAAAGCAGCACTGACAACCCACCAGCCCCCAGTATTCCATCAAGACCTATCCTTTGAAGAACAAATCCTGGAGTATATGCTACATAAATACTCTAAAGAAGATTCCCCAGCATCTCCATGCAGTTCTAGTATTTTACAGACCGGAAGAAGATTCTGTTCACAATGTTGTTGTTGTTGTTTCCAGCATTCTTCATGTTGGAAGGCAATGATAACAACAACCCCAGTCCAGTATTCAACCCAGAGGACCTATTGAAGAACAAAGCCTGGAGTATATGCTACATACATACTCAGTCTGAAGAYAATTCCCCAGCATCTCCATGCTGTTTCACCAGTATTCATTGGTATGGACGGGAAGAAGATTCTGGTCACAATGTTGTTGTTGTTGTTGTTGTTTCTGGCATTCTTGTCAGACAGCAATAGCAACCCCCAGTGTCTAACAAAGACCTATTGAAGGCCACAGTATTATTCCTAGACTTATTCCCCACCAGCTGTGCAGCTTTTCTCAGCTGGATCCCTACTAGTTTTCAAGGCCCAGAAGC